AGGTGATCCGCCTGCCTCGGCCTCCCAAAGTACTGGGATTACAGGCGTAAGCCACTGGGCCTGGCCGCCATCAGGGGGTTTTGGGATGAGGAGTGATGAAATTTGGTTCAAGTTTTGGAGAATTGCTTTGAGGTCTGGCACAGCAGCTTGTGTCTGTAATCCAAACACTTTGGGAGGCCTACCCAGGCAAATAGTCTGAGCCCAGGAGTTTGAGACTAGCCTGGGTAACATGATGAAACACTGTCTCCGCCGGGCCCCGCCGGATGGCTCAAAGCTGTAATCCACGCCTTTGGGAGGCCGGACGGGGCCGGATCACGAGGTCAGGAGATCCGAGACCATCCTGGCCGAACACGTGAAACCCCGTCTCTACTAGAAAAAAAAATACAAAAAAACTAGCCGGGCGAGGCGGCGGGCCCTGTAGTCCCCAGCCTGACTTCGCGAGGCTGGAGCAGTGAAGAAGAACTGGCCGTAAACCCGGGGGGCCCCGAGCCTTTGCCAGTGAGCGGAGATTCCGCCACTTGCCCCCAGCCGGGCTGAAAGAAGCCCAGACTCAGTCTCAAAAAAAAAAAAAGAAAACAGAACACCTTGTCTCTACAAAAAGTACAAAAATTAGCCAGGCTTGATGGCGCCTGCCTGTAGTCCCAGCTACTCGGGAGGCTGACATGGGAGAATCACGGGCACCAGGAGGAGGAGTCTGCAGTGAGCCGTGATCTCGCCACTGCACTCCAGCCTGGGTGACAGAGCAAGACACTGTCTCAAAAAAACATTTTTTTTAATTAAAAAAATTAGTTTTGGATGTGGTAAATAGATGCCAGTTAGATATACAGATGAAGATTGTGGAGATATGAATCAATGGAGTTGGGGAATAGAGTGAGAAGGACTAGAGATATGGGAGTTCTCATGATATGGATGTTACTTAAAACCATGATTGTGGCTCATGCCTGTAATCCCAGGACTTTGGGAGGCCGAGGCAGGCAGACCATGAGGTCAGGAGTTCAAGACTAGCCTGGCCAACATGGTGAAACGCTGCCTCTACTGAAAATACAATTAGTATGGCATGGTGGCACATGCCTGTAATCCCAGTTACTCCTGAGGCTGAGGTAGGAGAATCGCTTGACTCCGGGAGGCAGAGGTTGCAGTGAGCAGAGATTGCGCCACTGCATTCCAGCCTGGGCAACTGAGCAAGACTCTGTCTCAGAAAAACAAAAACAAACAAACAAAAAAACCAAAAAAAACCCCAAAAAAAGCCATAGTTGGAGACCGGGCACAGTGGCTCACACCTGTTATCCTAGCACTTTGGGAGGCTGAGGTGGTATTACTTGAAGCTAGGAGTTCAAGACCAGTCTGGGCAACAGAGTGAGACCTTGTCTCTACAAAAAAATTAAAAACAGGCTGGGTGCAGTGGCTCACACGTGTAATCCCAGCATTTTAGGAGGCCAAGGCGGGCAGATCACCTGAGGTCAGAAGTTCAAGACCAGCCTGGCCAACATGGTGAAACCCCGTCTCTACTAAAAATACAAAAATTAGCTGGGCCTGGTGGTGGACGCCTGTAATCCCAGCTACTCGGGAGGCGGAGGCAGAAGAATCGCTTGAACTCAGGAGGCAGAGGTTGCAGTGAGTTGAGATCATGCCATGGCACTCCAGCCTGGGTGACAAGAGTGAAACTCTGTCTGAAAAAAAAAAAAAAAGAAAATTAAAAACAAATTAGCCAGGCATAGTGATGCACGCCACTAGTCCTAGCTACTTGAGAGGCTAAAGTGAGAGGATCACTTGAGTTCTGGAGTTTGAGGTTGCAGTGAACTGAGATCTCGCCACTGTACTTCAGCCTGAGCAAAAGACCTTGCCTCAAAAAAAAAGAAATAAATAAATTAAAAAAAAACAAAAATAAAAAAAGAGGGGTCGGGTGGGGTCGGGGGCAGTGACTCATACCTGTAATCACAGAACTTCGGGAGGCTAAGGATCACCTGAGGTCAGGAGTTTGAAACCAGCCTGACCAACATAGGAAAACCCCATCTCTACTAAAAATACAAAATTGGTCGGGCATGGTGGCTCAAGCCTGTAATCCCAGCACTTTGGGAGGCCGAGACAGGTGGATCACGAGGTCAGGAGATCAAGACCATCCTGACTAACACGGTGAAACCCTGTCTCTACTAAAAATACAAAAAGAAATTAGCCAGGCGTGGTGGCGCATGCCTGTAGTCCCAGCTACTTGGGAGGCTGAGGCAAGAGAATGGCGTGAACCCAGGAGGCGGAGCTTGCAGTGAGCTGAGATCCGGCCACTGCACACAGAGCGAGACTCTGTCTCACAACAAACAAACAAACAAACAAACAAAATTAGCCAGGCGTGGTGGCGCATGCCTGTAATCCCAGCTACTTGGGAGGCTGAGGCAGGAGAATTGCTTGAACCTAGGAGATGGTGATTGCAGTGAGCCGAGACTGTGTCATTGAACTCCAGCCTGGGCAACACAAGGCAAACTTCATCGAAAAAGAGGAAAGAAAAAAGCCACGAGCTTAGGTGAGATCTCTAAGAGCAAATATAATCATAGAAGAGAAGAGACCCATAGACTAAGCTCTGGAATACTGGAACATCTGCAAATGCACATTTTGCAGAGGCACATGCACAGAAAAAGACAGAGATCAGTGTCTGTAAAGGCAAGGCTGGAGTAAGTATTTAGTAAAAATATAATAGGTAATTTCTGAAAGGGAAGATAAAAGTTCAGTACAACTTTGGTCACAAAGATTGGGAATGAGTTTTGTCCAGGCTGGAACTGATGTGGGGTCCACAGTGAGAGAGAAATGCTTGTAAATGGTGGTTAATAAATAGAGTCTTGGACGCAGTGGGACCAGGGAGATGAACCTGGAAGGTTCCTCAGAGTTTAGGGCAGAGACTTGAGGTTGGTAGGAAGCAGAGCTCAGTGGAATTTGTAAAAAGTGAAATAGAGGTTCCTCTTCAACGACTTTCTTCCCCATCTAATTAGGAATAAATAATAACTTTTCTTTCTTTATTTTGAGACAGAGTCTCACTCTGTCGCCCAGGCTGGAGTGCAGTGGCGTGATCTCGGCTCACTGCAAGCTCCGCCTCCTGGGTTCTCACCATTCTCCTGCCTCAGCCTACCGAGTAGCTGGGACTACATGTACCTCTTCCTTATTTAAAAGTGTTTTTACCTTTCTCAACATTCCACAAGTTACTTACTCCTTCCTTTGTTCCTCTCTACCTATGCCTCTTTTAAAAATTCTAAGTTACTAGCCAATCGAAACAAATACAAAATGTGAGGTCCTGTTCCAGTCAATGGAAACTAGACACAGCAGTAAGGTAGACATGACAGGTCATAAACAACCCTGTACACTGCTGGCGAGTGTACCCTTTCTGCAAAAAGTAAAAATGGCCTTACTAAATAAATTAAATTTATATTCAAGTGCTATTTATTTACGGCACCAAAAAACAAACATTTCAAACAAATTGGAGAACTAAGTGGAAGACAGATTCAGGATTGCTTGAAAAGGCAGAACTATTTGTGAAATGTATAGAGCCAAAAAGAAAGAATCACCTGCTTTAGCAAGATATTATATACATATATATATATATATTTTTTGAGACAGAGTTTTTCTCTTGTCGCCCAGGCTGGAGTGCAACGGTGGGATCTCAGCTCACTGCAACCTCCACCTCCCAGGTTCAAGCGATTCTCCTGCCTCAGGGTCCCGAGTAGCTGGGATTACTGGCACCCACAGGCACCTACAACCACACCCGGCTAATTTTTGTATTTTTAGTAGAGACAGGGTTTCACCATGTTGGCCAGGCTGGTCTCGAACTCCTGGTGGTCTGCCAGCCTTGGCCTCCCAAAGTGCTGGGATTACTGTGTGAGCCACCGCGCCAGGCCTGGTTGTGATATATTTTTAAAAATATTTTGCAGAGGTGGTAGGGGTGGAATGGAAGCTTAGTGGGGATTTAGGGAGGGCAGAAACTGATGTTCAGTGAGGAGCTCTGACAAAGCAGAGCTGATTTGGTGGGAGATGAAAACAAGTCCAAACATGCCTGAAAAAGCGAGAAGCCACAGGTTAGAAAGGCTGTATCCTAGGGAGGTCAGAATACATCTCGGAGAGCCGGGCGCAGAGGCTCACGCCTGTAATCCCAGCACTTTGGGAGGCCGAGGAGGGCGGATCCCATGAGGTCAGGAGTTTGAGACCAGCCTTGGCCAATACGTCAAAACCCCTTCTCTATTAAACATACAAAAATTAGCCAGGGGTGGTATCGCATGCCTGTAATCCCACCTACTAGGGAGGCTGAGGCGAGAGAATTGCTTGAACCCAGGGGGTGGAGGTTGCAGTGAGCGGAGATCTCGCCACTGTACTCCAACCTGGGCAATAGAACGAGACTCTGTCTCAAAAAAAAAAAAAAAA